CTTTGTTTCAGAGCTGGGCGGGCAACGTGGTTGGGCCCCAACCTGCCATACCGGGTTGGCAACCGGGTTGGGCCCCAACCTGCCATACCGGGTCCCAACCCAACCGGGTTGGCAACCGGGTTGGGCCCCAACCTGCCATATCGAGTCGTTTAAAACATTCACATCGACGACATAGCATTCTATGTGACTTTGCTTTGGTGCAGCCCAACCAATGAAGTGGCTCATTGCTTCGCCTGGCACACCGGCACACCTGAGAACGTTGAAAGACAGGCAGGCAGGTATGAGCCGAGCAGCGATACAACTCCGTCCATAGTATCCTACCAGCAATTGATCCCAAGCGTGGATGCGAATATCGCGGCCCATAGGCCATATTGAAAATGGAGATGGCACACTTCAGACAATCTGAATGAGTTTAATCGGTCTCGAGGAGGCCGGATATGGTGAACACGCTTAGCGAAGGGGCATGCAAAGCGGTGTTTGATAAAACAATACTCAACGCCTCACATAGTACTCGAAATGTTTGCTTGCTTGATGTTAAACCAACTACCATCAGTCCCAAATAGTCGCACTGCATCAGATACGCATGTTATACGGCCGGCCAATCTTCTGGTTTTGTCTTCACTGTATAGACAAAACAGAGATAGTCCTGCTCCTTTGGCTTCTATTCTCCTGAGAAAAAAAGACCAAGTCAAGGACATCTTTCTTTTCATGCCTTCCCAATCCTCAGAAAGGTCCATTCTGATTTCCATACTGTGGGGTGACGTACCGCCGTAGTACTTTACACTGCGGATTCTATGCACTACGGATCTGAAGTCTATTCTGAATTTGACGAAGGAAGGTTAGCATTGTTGTTTCTGATGCCATGCACTACGGATTCCTGAAGCACGCATATGCTCATGTGGAAACCAATGTCGGCCGAAATCAGTGCCAAAAACGGCAGCCCAGTACGCACTGATTTTGTTTGAAGTTATAATGCACTGAACTTAGAATGGTGCTTCAATTCTTTACTTCAGATACCTGACGAGGAGTGAGCGCAATGGAAGGTCACTACAGCAAACATCAACAGAAACCTATTGCTCAACTTTTCCTGAGGTCGTCTGCCTTGAGATCGCAACAGTTCGAGGGGTAGAGAAACGTGAACAAGAGACAAAGAGGGGGAGAAGTGATTAAGTGAGGCCTTCGTCAAAGCGTTTTTGTGATATGAGTTCTGATGAAGAAATAACTTTGAACACAGTGTTAACATTCATGGAAGGAAAATTTGCTGGGGTCGGTCGCAGACAGATGGAAGTGTCTGAACAGTTATTGGGAATCCACAGCTTGCTGGAGGATTTGAAAGAGCAGATTGAAGATGCTGAATATTACACAGAACACTTTGAGTCTGCTGTCAAACGAAAGATAACCGCTGCACAGGAGATCATTTCCAAGCTGGAAAAGCAAGGTCTTTTGAAAATGAAAACAGATAAGGGCCAGCAACTTATTAATAATGAAGAGCAATCTGATGAGGTGGCACCCGTAGAGAAATCACATCGTTCTCTTGAATTGCAAACACAGGAATCTTGCTCTCTGAGCCAGATGGAGAAAATCATGCTATGGATAGTAATTCTGCCAAAATACGCGGCGAGCTATAGACACATGGGTCACCCTGGAGATGTCAAGTGGTTGAATAAAGTTACGCGTCCGGTATTTTTCCGTTTGCTGAAGCTATATCCTCTGCCAAGGGCGGTAGAGCGCGAATTGATGCTCCTAGGGTTTAAAGGGGAACAGGCAACTCAGATTACCCATGACATAGTTCAGGCTAACCCCGAAGCGGAGATAAGTTTTCTATGGTTCTTGATTGGAAAAGCTTTTCAATCTGGTCCCAAGTCGGCCACTAGATGCTAATCTGTGAAATGCAGAATGCTGGGCGAGGAGCAAACGCCCATGAAGAAGACCGAGTGTCCCACAGGATGTAACAGGGGGCAGTATGACCTCCTCGATTTTCCCTATTCCCCTGGAGACCGTAGCTGGTGTTGGACTTGAGAGCTGCAGCGCAGACTTGGATGTATAAAAATATGAAGAGATGACTGGGGATACGTGATGGCCCCCCTCTGATATGTTGATTGCATCCGTGACTACAACGAAGGAAATAGTGAAGCACAAGTCAATAGCTTCGATTACAGCTGGTGTAAAACGAGATCGAGCTACGTCATGTACGAAGACAATATTGCAAAACACTCTAGAGTCTCTTATCATGAGAAGGAGCTGCGATGCTTGCTTCAAGCTCGTTTATGCGGAATAAGTTACCATGCGTGTAGTATTTCCGGAATAATAAAATGCTGGACTGCAAACTGAACTGGTGTTGATAACAATAGGCCTTTCCACGCTGCATACACAATGCGCACACACCTTTCTCCAGAGGTGAAACGGCTCCTGGCGTATTCTGTTGACAGACAACTGGCAGCATGCACACCTTCCACACGGTGTCAGGAGAGAGCAGGCATGCTAGAGGCGACAGTAAGCAAAGAAAAAGCAAGCATGACTAAACAAGGGATGTGATCTACAGTATGAATACCAAATCCTTACAAATACCTCTCGGAACGTTGGGTCTTTAGTCAGTCTAACACAAAAAGTCGATTAAGTATACCAAAGCAAGAAACAGCACCCTCTTCACCCGCACGTACTAGAAAGAGTCTCTGCGAGAAACGATCCTTCAGCAGGGCACTAATGCATTCAAGAACCGCGATCGTCGAACTATCGCTTTGGCAAGCATTATTGTTACGGTGCAGTATCGTCATTATCCTCCGACGAGTCGGACGAGTCATCCAGGGCGGCACGGCCATTCACAGCGGGGTCGCGGAGCCCACTAGAACCGGTGCTGCTGTCGCTGTCGTTGTCATCATCTGAGACTTCGGCGATGTTGAGATAGTACATGAGGGCTCGCGGGATGACGTCGGAGCGGATGCAGTCACCGAGCTCGAAGTCCGCGTCGAGGACGTCGTCGAGCTCGTCCATGACGGACTCTTCGACGTCGCTGCCGCTCTCGAGGACCTGCGAGGGCGGGCTGAAAAAGTTGAAGAAGGAATCTGTGGGCTGTTTCTTGATGAGGACGCGGCCGTTCTTGGTCTTCTTCTTCATGGTGCGCACGGTGAGGTCCTTCCCAGGCTTCCACAGAACCTTCGTCCCGCGAGCCTCCTGCAACTCCTCAAAGTCATCCTCCTGCATGATGTAGGTCTTGGTGAGGTGGTCGTTTTCGAAAAACGGGTTGTCAGCGAAGCGAAATGTGAGGGTGAACGAGCCGATTGGAATGCTAGGCGGCGCGTTCGGGCTGACCTCCTTCTGCTTCGTGACGGTCTCCACGGACACGTCGGTGAGATACTTCAAGGCGAGTGCATCCTTGTCTGTGATATTCTCTCGAAGCACCTCGCAGTGCTCGAAGGCCTTAAACCAAAAGAGTTTGATGGGGTGTGCGTCAAGCTCCTCCTTGCGTGACCGATACAGCGGTCGAATCTTGCCCTCGTACTTATCCTCCAGCTCCTGCTTTTCCCTGAGATAGTCCGTGAAGACCTGGTCGTGTTCCTTCTGCAGATCACGGAGCCGCTTGAGCGAGTCGAGCTGGTGCGGCTGCTGGTCGTCGAGCCCGTCGAACAGACGCTGCAGACGGTCGTCTGTGAGCTCGGGGTACGCGTCGCGCTCCTGCATCGAGAGCTGTCGGTTGAGCTCGTGCGCGACGTCGTCGACGGGGACGGCGTCGGGCGCGGCGTCGGGCGCGGGCTCGCTCATGGCTGGACAGAGGGGCGCGATGGGGGCACTGGAAGGGAGAGGAGCGGGGATGCAAGCGGTGGCGTCGATGCAAGTCGCCGCGCGCCCGACGGCGCGTTTATGTAGACGTGTGCGAGGGGCTATGCCGCGGGCGCGAGGATGGCGGTGGGAGGCGGTTGAATTGCGGGCTGTGACAGCGGGGGATGTCGTCTGGACGGCGGCGCGATTGGCGGGTGGCAAAAGAATCGGAAAATCGGCCAAATCCAACGCACTGCGCACTTGACGGTACATATTCCCGAGCCGACTGGGCTAAACTTCCGCCTCCTCGGCAGCACCCCCAGCACCCCCCTGCACACACCCGGCTGCCCCTGCCCTCCCCCCGCTCACATCTTGGCCCTCTGCGGTGCGTCCATCCTCCTGGAGATATCCTGCGCGACGACCCTTGCGCCGGTAACCTTGGACACATATACGGCCTCTCCGACCAAATCCCTCCTGCGCAGCATCTCGATCAAGCAGTCGGCGACGTCCGCCCCTTCCATAATGCCCGTATACTTGGCCGTATTCCCCTCGGTCGAAACCGTCTTCCCCATGCCCACATCCGCCCAGCCCGGACACAAGCAGTGTATCCGCACGCCCCTCTCCCAGCACGCGTTGCGCATACTCTTCGTGTACCCCACAACGCCGAACTTACTCGCGGAATAAATCGGTGCGATGGGCATTTCAAACACGCCGCCCGCCGACGCGACGTTAACAATGACGCGCTCGCCGTCGCCGCCGACCTCTGCGAAGGCGTGCAGCGCGGCCTCTGTGGCGCGGATGACGGCCTTCAAGTTGACGTCCAGGGTCAAGTCGATCTCGCGCTCGTCTGCGACGCCGGCGTTGTTGACGACGGTGTCCAGGCCTCCGAACGCGCGCGCGGCCTCGCGCATGGAGGCCGCGACCTGGGCGGGGTCGCGCACGTCCGTGCGCACGTAGCGCACCTGCTGCGCGGGCGTGGCGCGGCGCGCCAGCAAGTGGGCCACGACGGCCGCGCCGGTGGCCTCGTCCGCCACGTCCGCCACCGCGACGGCCGCGCACCCGCGCGCCACCAACGCCTCCGCCATCGCCAGGCCGAGCCCGCGCGCGCCGCCGCTCAGCCACACCTTGCGCGCGCGCACCGCCAGGCGCTTGCTCGCGTACGGCGGCGCGCGCGACACGCGCGTCTTCAGCTCGCCCTTGATGGCCATCGGTGTGGCGGGCGAGGTGCGTGGCAAGCGGCGGAAAGGGTCGGAGGTGCAGGGGGGTGCAGGGGGTGTTCTTTGTTTGCAGGGCTGGATTGAATCATATCGGGGTACAGTATACCGTACAGTATACCGTACCCAAGGGTACAGTATACGGATTGATCTTGCTGGTTCATACTTTACCATGAACCAGCAAGATCAATCCCCTGTTAGAGCATCCCCACGGGCGAGTGTAAAATGCTAAATATTTTAGAAACTTGGCGAGCCTTGATTGGCCTCTCGCTATTATACACCTTTGCTTTTTTAAGACCTTGCCGAGAACTGCATTGACCTGCAGGTCAACCCCACCGGCAAAAAACCGCACCCTCCTACTTGTGAAGTGCATGCTCCTACTCACTGAAGTCCGATGCAAACGCCTTCACAACCTCCACGGAGTACCATTGGCATCTCTGACTTCGTGGAGGACGACATTCTCGATATTGTTGAGGATGTTTTGTCCTCGGACAGCGACAGTGAGCCCCCAAAACACAAAGGCTCTTATCCGGGGAAAAAGCCAAATGTCGAGCGCAATCGAGAGCGAGGTGCGCAACTGCTGTTCCAAGACTACTTCAGTGAAACTCCAACCTATAATGGATCTATGTTTCAGAGGCGTTTCCGAATAACAAAACAGCGCTTCATGGAAATTTTCGATGTACTCCAATCGGACCGCTTTTTTACTCAGCAGAAAGACTGTACAGGTAAACTGGGTCTAAGTGGACTACAGAAAGCGACAGCTGCTATCAGGGTTATGGCATATGGCGGAGCTAGTGATGCATTGGACGAATATTTAAGAATAGCTTCGTCAACAGTAGACATTTGCTTGCGCAAGTTTGTGGAACTTTTGCTGCGAAACTATGAGGAAACGTACCTTCGCAGTCCCACAGCATCAGATTTGAGATTGCTGCTGTCGCGATCCTCTGATAGAGGGTTTCCGGGTAAACTAGGCAGTCTAGATTGCTGCAAATGGCACTGGAAAAACTGTCCTACAGGGTGGCATGGTCAATTTGAAGGGAAAGAAGGTAAACCGACTATCACTCTGGAGGCCATTTGTGATGACACTCTGTGGATCTGGCACTGTTTTTTCGGAATGCCTGGTGCATCAAACGACATAAATGTGCTCAACAATTCCACGTTGCTGAGCAAAATCGCAAGCGGGACATATCCACCTCCATTGCAATATATCATAAATGGACAAGAGCGAAATATCCCTTATTGGCTCGTAGACGGCATTTATCCGAAATGGCCCTGCTTTGTCCACTCTATTGCTGAGCCAGGTACTCCTAAAGAAAAACTGTTCTCAAACAGACAAGAGTCAGAGCGAAAAGATGTGGAGCGCGCATTCGGGGTTCTCCAGGCAAAGTGGCATGTTATTGCAAGACCAGGCCGCTTCTGGAATATCGACTTTATGCACAAGGTAATGAAGTCTTGCATCATATTGCATAACATGTGTGTTGAGGACAGGGTTGTGCACTGTGACACAGACAATGACGCATTCGATCTAGGGGGCGATATAAATTTACCAATGTGGGGGAGCTCAAGTGATAGTACTGTAGTGACAGCTGCAGCTCCCGATAGTATTGAGGCACTTTGCGCCGCAAGTGCTTTTACGAGTAATGCTGTCGAGTACTTGAACACAAAAAAGCTCGTCATGGACCACCTGTGGGATCATGCAGGCAGCCACGAGCTTGAATATTAGAGGTTTGTCGTACCATTGGAACCTGTATCATTGCCCAGGGAACTGACCAAATCGAACACTGTGCTATCATTACCAGAATGTGGCGTTGCAGTAGGCATTCTGCTTTCCGATGATTCACCGGTATCGGTCAAACGAGACCGAATTTTCTGTAAAGCTTCCGTACGGAGCAAATTGTAGTACTCTATCGTCTCTGCCCGGTTGCATTCCTGCGGAGCGCTTGAAAATAGCAGCAATTCGTTGTGCCGCTCCAGGGCTTCATTGCGAGCTCGTTGTAGGGAAACAGCTTCTGCTGCAATTTTCAGCTTTTTGTGCCGTGCATCCTCCATTTTTGCCATTTGTTTGGCCCTTTTTCGTCCGATTGGGCGTTGCATGCCACTCTTTACTACCTGCCGGCTGCTCTCCTCGTCGTCCGTGTCAGCCTTCTGCGCTACATCTTCTGTACAAAGACCACCATCTCGACCTCCACCCACTGTACTCTGGTTACTGTTTCCACTCGAAGTTGACATACTGTACTTTGGATGATCTTTAAGCAATCGCCATACTTGTAAAAATTTGAATACCCGACCACACTCGTCAGTGGCAGAAGACATTGCTACGCCATTATAAATTCCCGTAGCCATCCTTTCTATATCGACGTCCGACACACCTGTGGGTTTTTCCATGTAGACACAGCGCACAGAGCCATTAAACTTCATGCAAGACTTATGCAAAAGCTTGCAACGTGCCTTAAGGGAATCTGGAGTTCTTTGTTCAGAAGCAGGGCTACGGAGGCGGTTATAAACTTCCTCAATCCGTTCGTAAAATGCCTGGGACTTTTGCTCACTCCCAATGATGGGATCCTGGGATACACGCACCCAAGCTCGAGCTAGCACGAGATCGTCCTGTGTAGAATAGTTAGAACCACGAGACCGACCAGGTGCTGGATTTGAGATGGCATCTGACGATATCGAAGGGATCGAAGTATGCGTGGGTGTGAGGACAGGGGCGGAAACAGGAAAGAGAGGAGGTGCAATAGGAACGCCTGGGATTGCGTCGGCGATCGAAGTTTGTGTGGGGGTGGTTAAAGGGACAGGGACAGGAAAGAGACGGGGTTCACAAGAAGCGGCTGCGGCTGTGTCGGGGATCGCGTTTGATTCGAGTTCGCCCATACTGCTAGTGACGGCTGTCCCTTCGAAAGACGTAGGGTGGCTGCCAGACAAACTTACGTTTGGTGCAGATATGGACAGGATGGGGAGGAGTGTTGGTGGAGACTCTCCTCTCCACTGGAGAGAGAGGCTCAACTTCAAGACCCCTTCAACCAACTTTGACTTCGCGGGAAAATGGAATTTGAACCAATCAGCGTTCGCCACCTCAAATGCATAGTTCTAAATTTTGGTGCTATATTCTCGATTTTTACAACCCGAATTTATCTCGATGTAAAAAATAATGCATCTTTTCGAAACGGTGGGAGTAGTGAAGAGGGGTGTAAAATATTAAAGTTGTAAAAATTCGTTTTTTTACAACTTTAGCCTCACTGGTGGGGATGCTCTTAACAGCTAACATTAGCCCACGACTAGTGCCTCGTGTAAGACGTGTACACGGGTACAAGCGGGAGAGGAATACACACGTGTACACCGCGCCGTCTTCTCTTCATACCACGTGTGATACGTGGACAATGTGTACACTGGGCAATGTGTACACGTCCACACGCTCATCACCAATTAGGCGCAGCGTGTGCTCGTTGTCGTGCACGTTTCGTAGTGAGTGAGTAGCGCACTAAACCGAGTCAAGTGGGGTCTACAGTATTTACTTTGCTAATTTATTTGGGAGATTTTGCAACTTTTCCGATTTCATCCGTCTGTTGCCACCAAAATCCACCTGATCGCCCCCCTAAACGCAACATTATCTCAATTTATATGACAACCAGGGACAACCCGACAAACCTCTCAGATCGCCTCGTCAAACAGATCCCTCGAGCTTTCGAGATTACCCTCGTGATGGTCTAATTGTTCTTTTAACTGCACCCCCTCACCCCACGCCCTTCACGCCCCCCCTCCCCCCCCCCCCTCCCCCCCCCCCCCCCCCCCCCCCCTCCCCCCCCCCCCCCCGCCTCCTCCGCCTTCATGCACGCCTTGCGCCGAGCGCTGGTCCATCTCCCCACCATGCGTCTCGCCCTGTTCCTCCCCTCACCGCCTCTTCTGCGCCGCGGCCGCCACCCTCTCTGCGCCCGCCAGGCCACCACGGCCTCCGCTGCGCCGGACCCCGCTCTCGTCATCGTCGAGAGCCCGGCCAAGGCCGCCACCATCCAGAAGATCCTTCCCGAGTCTCGCTACCGCGTGCGCTCGTGCGTGGGGCACGTGCGCGAGCTGCCGGGCTCGGCGAAGCGCATCCCGGCCAAGTACAAGCGCGAGCCGTGGGCGAAGCTGGGCGTCGACGTCGCCGACGACTTCCGCCCTTTGTACGTCCTCATCGCGGGCAAGCAGACCATCATCTCGCACCTCAAGGCAGACCTCAAGAACAGCGCGGAGCTCATCCTCGCCACGGACGAGGACCGAGAGGGCGAGGCCATCTCGTGGCACCTTACCGAGCTCCTCAAGCCCACCGTCCCCGTGCGCCGCGCCGTCTTCCACGAGATTACCCCGGACGCCATCGAGTTTGCCTTCCGCAACTGCCGCGACATCGACCTCAACCTCGTCCATGCCCAGGAGACCCGCCGCGTCCTGGACCGCCTCGCGGGCTACACCATGAGCCCGCTGCTGTGGAAGAAGATCGCGAAGGGGCTCTCCGCCGGAAGGGTCCAGAGCGTCGCCATGTCCGCCATTGTCCGCCGCGAGCTGGCCAGGCTCGCCTTCGTGCCCGCGCGCTACGCAGGCTGCACCGCCCGCTTCGAGGGCCCCGACCGCCCTGTCGTCGCCACTCTCAGCACCGTCGATGCCGTTCGCATGGTCCGCGGCTCCGATTTTGACGACCATACGGGGGCGCTTACCGCTCGCGCCACCGCCAAGAACATTCCTGTCTTTGACCGCCCCGCGCTCGAGAGCCTCGTCGCCGCGCTTGAGTTGGCGGACGCGCGCGTCGCCGCCGTGGACAAAAAGCGCACCACGCGCAGCCCGCCCAGGCCGCTCATCACTTCCACGCTGCAGCAGGAGTGCGGCAACAAGCTCGGCTTTGGCGCCGGCCGCACCATGCGCGTCGCCCAAAAATTGTACGAGAACGGTCACATCACCTACATGCGCACGGACAACCCTAACTTGAGCGATCAGGCCGTCGCCGCGTGTCGCACATGTGTAGAGGCATTGTACGGGAAGAAGGCGGTTTGGGATGGCAAGGGGCCGCCGAGGGTGCCCAAGCCCAAGGCTGCACAGGCGGCGCATGAGGCTATCCGACCGGCGGGGAGCACGTTCACTCTGCCGGAAGACTTGCCGCCGGGCTTGGAGCGCGATGAAATCGCCGTGTACAGCTTGATTTTCAAACGCACCCTCGCGTCGCAAATGGTCGGCGCCAAGCTGGATCAGACTACAATCAAGATTCAAGTCCAGGCCAAGGGAGACGCCCCGTGCAGGAAAGTCGAGTTTAAGGCTACAGGCAGCGTGGTCGTCGATCCCGGTTTTCTGCGAGCGTATCAGTCGGAAGACGTTGTTCAGACACCGGGAGCTTTTCTTCCATCGGTCGTGGAAGGGGACAAGCTAGTCGGGTCGAATGTCGCAGTGCTTGAACATGAAACAAAGCCACCGGCGCGATACAACGACGCGTCTCTGGTCAAGGATTTGGAGGAACTTGGCGTGGGGAGGCCTAGCACCTATGCCAGCATCATTGAAAAGCTTATCGCGAGGGGATACGTCTTTCGGGGGCGGATGCTGGGAGAGAACAAGTCAGTTCCTCCGAGGGCTTTGCTACCAAGTTTAACTGCGTTCGCTGTGGAGAAGCTGCTTTCCAAGCACTTTTCGTCATTTGTGGATGCCGAATTCACGGCCAAGATGGAAGAGGCATTGGATGAAATTGCAGGCGGTAGTGCAGAGCGGACGCACTATCTGCGACAGTACTATTGCGGTGAAGATGGCCTTGCAGCATCCGTGGAACGCACAGAGAAGGAAATTGATGCTAGCGTCTTCCGACAAATTTTGCTTCCCAACATGCCACCCGAAATGTTGGCTTCGGCTGCGAAGGCGGGAAAGAAAGTAGACAAAGCGAAGACGGCAAAGGCGAGGGCCAGTTCTAGCAGCTCGTCTGGCAGTGACGGTGAGTCCGAAACGGACTGGTCAAACACCAAAGTTTTAGTAAGCTCATACGGCCCCTACGTCGAGCAAAACGGCGTGGTGGTTGCGTCCCTTCCAAAATTGACACTGGCAGACGACCTAACCGCTGACCGGCTGGAAACCGTGCTGCAACTGGCCCAGGACCCTGAGCTTGGCACAGACCCGAAGAGTGGAATGCCTGTATTACTCAAGACCTCAAGGTATGGACCGTACGTGCAGTTGGGAAGAGAAAACGACTACGCCGGGGGCACCAAGCCCAAGCGCTCTAGTCTGTTTCCGGGCATGGACGTCGGTACGTTGACGATAGATCTTGCCTTAAAGCTTCTCAGTCTCCCGCGCTTGCTGGGTACCCATCCCAAGTCGGGAAATGAGGTACGAGCTGCTATGGGACCGTACGGTCCCTATGTCGTGCATGATGGTACGTATGTTTCTTTGAAGAAAGATGTGCACAACGTTTTGGAGATCAGCTTTGACGAAGCGATGGAATTGATATCTGCGTCTGAATATCGAAAGGAAGTACGCCGGGAAAAGCAGGCGTTGAAGAAGGCTGAAGTGCAAGCGAAGAAAAAGGAAAAAGGTACGTCAAGCCCAAAAGTCAAGCGAAGCGCCAAAGGAGGTGCGTCAGCGAAAAGAAAAACGACTGCAAAGCAAAAAAGCGTCGCGTAAAACACAAGGGTGAGAGTGAGAAATTCTCCAAGAAGGAGTGCAGTAGTATTTTCCGTTACCAAGCTTTTCGAGGTTGGCTTTGGCTTTTTATCAGAGGCCAGAACGTGGTCTTATGAAGTTAGGCCTCGAGGAGCGAAATTAATAGGTATTTTTACATTTTAACTTTGTCGGAGTGACCGCGGTTCGAAGTCCGTTTTCAGAATTGTAACAAGTCTACGAGTGCACGGGAGGGGGGAACCGCCAGAGATAGAATTACACTTCAAGAAAAGAGGAAGGGAAGGCGAAATTGTTTGCGGGGTAGAGTGACAATGAGCTTTTAAAAAATCGGTAAACTGAAGGGGAAAACTGTTACTATCGAAAACTAAGGGTGTCTGCGCAGGGAAGTGGGAATATATTTGCACACCCTAGAATCCCTCTTCAGAGTCAGTTCCATTAATGCCTTCGTAGTATTCACCGGAAGCTTTTTGGGCAGCGCGCTTGCGGTCCAGCTTCTTCTTTTCCTGGCGGGACATCTTCTTCTTCGTGCGGCGAGCCTTCACCTTGACGGTGTTGCCATACGCATCCGTGGTTTCAGTGATTTGCTTGACCTCGATCTTGTCCTTTTCCGCGTTCTTGGTCCAATCCAAATCACCTTCCAGGTTGAGCCTGGCCGGTTCAGTTTCCGTTGCGGGGGTCAGGTTCCAGACTTCGGGGCAAACCTCTCCAGTGAATTCGGAGTTATGCGAAATGATAACCACTCCACCTTCAAATGCTTTGATGGCGTAGGTGAGGGCAACGAGAGACTCCCTGTCCAGATAGTTAGTCGGCTCATCGAGGACGATGAGATGAGGACAGTTCCAGAGGGAGGCGGCGAGCGCAACCTTGACCTTCTGGCCTCCAGAGAGGGCTCCGAGGCGGCAATGCGTACCGAACTCACGGTTGAGGCCAACGTTCTCCAAATGCGTCTCAACATTAGCAGCCGTCAACGGCATGGTGAAAGCAGACGCGCGGGAAGCAACCTTTTCGTCAACCGACTTAATAGCCTTACCCCATCCCATTGACTCCAACTTGTCCAGGGACAACCAGGCAGTCCACGTGGTGGGCTTGCCCTCCCACTTGACTTCATACTCGTAGTCGTTCTTGGTACCCTTCTTGGTGCGACGCTGCGAAGTGAGGCGGTCAACCTTCAGCTTCTCGCGGTGCTCCTTCTCGTCCTCAGATATCCAGACATACGATACAGGTGTCTTCATCAATTTGAGCTCCTCATCGCTCACCTGCATAGTGTCCTTCTGAAGAGCCTCACGATCCTCACCGTACGCATAGCGCCACCGGATGTACTCGTTGGGCGTCTTCTCCAAATGATTCTCAATGTGATGGAACGCATGCTGGGCAATGTAGCCAATACGGGCGTTGGCATGCTTCCACACATTTCCTGAGTCGGGCTCCAACTCCCCTGTCAACAGCTTGACAATAGTGGACTTTCCGGCACCATTGGGACCGATACAAGCAACACGTGAGGCAAGGGAACAACGAATGGTGACGCCGGCAATCTGCGGGCGGCTGGCGCTGGGGTACGTGAAGATGACGTTGTCCATCTTAATGATGGCCTTACCCTTGGAGGTGATGCCATCCAAGTTTCCTGGCTTGGGAAACTTAAACTTGAGCTTGGTCTCCTTGAGCTCAAAGTAGGTCCTCGCCTTGGGGACCTTCTTGACAAATTCGGTCAAGTTGCCCTTGTGCAGCTTGAGCTTCAGATTTTCAATCTGGATGATATGAGTGCAGCAATTGTTCAATAGCCCCTTATCGTGTGAAACGATGATGCTCGTGACGTCCTTGAGGTTATTCAAGTAGTCCTCGACCCACTTAACGTTGATGACATCAAGATGGTTGGTGGGTTCATCAAGGAGAAGGATGTCGGCATTTTGGAGCATGGCACGTGCGAGGGCCAGCTTCATGCGCCAGCCGCCGGACAAAAAGGAAACGGACCCCTCAACCATGAGCTTTGTGAAACCAACCGAGCTGAGAACATTCTGGATGGTCTCGCGGGGAATGTCGCAGGCACGGATGGCCTCATCGGCAAAGATATAGTCAAGGACGTTGAGATGGGACAGCTCTCCGAGAATGTCAGCCTCAACAAAGACGGTCTTGACCTCATCCGGAGGCGGGAAACCCTCAACCTGACCGTTGGCGATGGCGCGCATGAGCGTGGTCTTACCGCACTCATTGGGTCCCAAGAGGCCATAGCGGAAACCTCTCTTGAGGCGAAGGTCAGTGTTGTTGAGAAGGACCTTTGAACCGTAGGCGAGGGAGAACTTGCAGCGGCAGAGCTCTTCGGCGTCCTCCTCTTCTTCCTCCTCGTCGACAATGGTCATGTATTTGGTGCAGCGAGAAAGCATGTCCTTGCCTGACCAGCTGTATCAGGCGCTCGCGAAAGGAGTGAGAATGGGGACGACACAGACGTTCCACTCCTCAATTTCGAGGGCCTGATTGGAAATAAGGACAGTGACCTCCTTGCAGATAAAGTCAAGGGCGGCCTCAAACATGGGACCTGTGGTTCCGGCTGCACCACCGATGCTCTCCTCAAGAGTCTTGAGGACGGTATCCCTCTGGACCCTTCGGGGTTCCGGGGCCATGCCTTCACCCTTGGAGGCACCGTCCAAAACTTCGACACCCTCGGCGCACACGGCGCGGGCCTCCGGATCGGAAATCTCATCCGAGGCACGCTTGAGGGCGGGCATGAGGGTGGGAATAAACGGCTCGACGTCACTGGGGCGCTCGACGAGCTTAGCCATGTTAGTGATAATCTTAGCTGAGATACGCTTAAGTGGAGTGGAGCGCGTCTGGAAGGCACGCTTGAGCAAAGGCACAGTGATAGCGAGGGCATTGCACTCGATCTGTGCCACAAAAGTGGTGGCGGCAAGCTTGTAAATGGCATCCTCGACCTCAATGGGGTTGCCCAGAGCCGACATGAGATGCGGGACTAGAGGCTTGACGTCGGGGTTATCGATACCCTCGCACATCTTGGCCATGGCCCGCTTTGAGCCCTCCGACAGCGCGGCCCTGGACTCACACATGAGCGGGGCGACGGCCGGGACCAAATCGGGCATGCAGGAGCCAATCTCGTGTGGGGCGTCCGTGGCGACCTTGGTGATGAGGCCGAGGGCACCAGCCTGGGTCTGCCACTTGGCCTGCAAGCTCAGTCCGTTCACAAGGGTGGACAAGCACACGGCGCGCTTAGCGACCGGGTTGAGCATATCGACAATGGCGGTGGCCACTCTGCCGGAGATATTCTGAACGTTCTTCGAGTTCTTATCAGCCATCAAGGTAAGGACGTGTGCGAGCAAGTGAGTGACATACGGTGCGACGGCGGAGGCGTACTTGGCGACGAGACGCTCCAGGATGAAGAGGGCGACCTCTCTCTGGGCAGCCTTTTTCTTATCGGAGGTGGACAGGATAGTAGCGAGCGCGTCGGTGAGTCCCGAGGCGGGATGCGCGCAGGCGATCGTAGCGCAGTTATCAGCTACAAAAGCGGTGGCAGCTTCTGCGCGGTTGGTGGCCGTGATGGCGGTGTCGAAGGCGGTCTTGACTGAGGCATCGGAAGCGGGCTCCTTGAAGGACACAGAGGGGGCGGCGATCTTCGACATAGTGGGTTAGAGTTTTAAGTGACAAAACTGGCTCGGCAAAATTGGTTAGTGCGGCGACCTAATGTCTAAAGACCCGCGAGCGGAGGGCAACGGGGGGAAGTGTAGGGGAATAGAAGAGGTGGCAGTGAGAGGTGGGGCGAGGCAATGTCGGCGGCGACGGCGGGCAGGTTTAAATAGCGGGGGGAGCGGCTC